GCTGGATAACTCGTTCCAACCGCGAAGCCGAGTAGCTCAACTCAGGCCGGAAGCCGAGAAGTGAAAGTGCACACTCTGGTGATAGTAAGGATGTGCGGGGAGCCATTGGCGTAAGTCCGAGGGCATATTGACGTCCTGGCAGAGTGGACTCCCTAAGAGTGCGGCGCTGCTCAGGCCCACGAATTTAGTTCCTGAGTTGTACCAAAGGTGACCCGAGGCGACCCCTAATCAGGTTGCTTGGGTGTGTGTTAGGAATAATTCCCCAGCTGGGTAGGAATCGATTCGAGTCGTTGTCTCTCCCAGATAGTGAGAACTTGACTGAGCAGCGGCAATATAGAAACACCTAATTGAACTTGATGGTTATAATGATGATGATGTTACAATGTTACACCAGATATGCTTACTAATGTGTGGATCCTAATCAAATGCTTGCTTTAGTACAGGTGCTAATCTAAATGATAGGTTTAATATTGGTAACTTGTTGTTTAACTCAAAATTTAAATTATGCTCTTGTATCATTAAAGCTTTCATGCAAAATGGTTGTCATGCGAGATCCACCGATAAAGTCTTGCATACTCCTTGGTGTCATTTATTTTTGGTTTACGACAGGTAAGTCAAGCTGGGTACATTCTCATACTCATGGTTTATTCCCTCTTGTTGCAGATGACGTGCTTTATAACGGTTACTGCAAGTATTGTCTCCACCCCGCTGGTGATGAAGACTAGAACATGGGCATGATCTCCTATGTTATCTTATCATGATGCTTTTGCTGGATATGACTATAGAACTGGCTTGTATTTGAACTAAGTGTTTGGAGGGTTTCCAACTACTTTGCTTCCGCTGTTTTATGAACTCGTGTTGTAATAACTATGCGAACTCCGATGTATGCGAGATACTTGTGAACTACTTGTGAAATGGATGTAACATGTGGCTTGTTATGTTGAATCATGTATGATCTTGGTTGTATGCGAGTTGGTTGAAATCCTTCATGGTTTCATCGGACTACCGGGTTTATATGGGTTCAAGTATGACGGTTTGATCACTCCGATGATTGCTTTTGTACTCGTGCTCTTATAAATTGGTCAATTCTATTATAGTAATAGTACAACTACCAAGAGCACTATACCTACTGACAATGACCTTGCAAACAAGCCCTCGGGTGTTTCCACTTTTACCACGGGGAGGTCCCTAGGGATCCCCGCGCTCGCCGGCGCGGCGGCCAATGGCATAGGGCAATTACGTCGGGCAACCTAGGCGTGCTACGATGGAAGTAAGGGGCCAGCCACCATCTATGGCTAAACTCACAAGGATGGGTGGTGGTTAGGAACTCGGAGATGTACTGGCGCGAGCGGCTATCCATGGCGGCGGCGCGACCATTTAGATGACCTAGGGCACTAACGGAGAGGTAGAGACGGCGGGGAAGCACCAGAAACTCACCAAGGACCGGTCTACGGTGATGGTTGAAACCGGGAAGTGCTGAGGTGGTCTAGCCACGTGCGCCCGCATCGCGCGGCGACGCTCCGAGCGTGGCACCGGCGCGTCACCGCACCCACGGCAGAAACCCGAGCCATCCTGACATGAGCACCAGCTAGAGGAGATCAACATGAGTCCAGAAACACCACCAATTGGGTTCTCCCCCCACGGATTGGCACTTACCCCCAACCCACTAGCTGCGACGGCGCTCATGGCCGGCAGCGGGCAAAACCTAAAATTGGCCGCAGCCAGACCACCACAGGACCCGACGAGAATGGGGCGTCTAGTTAACTCCCCATGCTACTCACTGGTATAAGGAATTAGGCTGAGAAGTCTTGAGCTGGTGATTATGAAGGGGGAGAGAGCGGTGCATCGCCACTGCCACATCACGTGAAGCGGCCCTTGCAGGGGTGACCCGACCATGACCCGACAAGGCTCGGCAACATGAGGATATGGCCGCATGAGCGAGGGGCAGGAGGCGCATCGGTTAGTGCTTGGATGGAGCCATGAGGTGTGCCTGCGCGCGGAACGCATGAATGCAGTAGCCGGGTCCGAGCGAGCTCACCGGCGTCAGTTAGTGAGATAGGGCGAAGCAGGGAGGCGTCACCGTCACCCCATGACCAGGGTTAGTTGACCCAGACATGGCGGGCAACGACACAAGCCCACGGTAGGTGAATCATAGGGCGGGGCGACTGCCACGCAGCCATGGTAACAACGGCCCAGCGGTCAAGATGGCGCGCGCACGTGGCGACCGCGGTCAAGATGGCGCGCGCACGCGGCGACAGCGGGGGCACACGACAACAGCATCGCGACGATGCCTCGCCACATGACCGCGCAGCGGCTGCGTCGGAGTAGCGCAGTGGCAGCCCTCCGGCAAGGCGCAGTGCCTGTGTGCACGCGAGGCCCAGGCACGGCTCGGTCGGCCCGAAGCGCAGCACTGGCGAGGACGGGACCACCACCGGCAAGGTCATGTGTGGTGCGTGCGTCCGACAATGAGAGCACCCACGCGCGACGCCGCACTCCCGAGCACGATGACCACGCACTCCAGGTCGAACAGCCAGACAACGTGCTATGCACGAACTTTAAAGCGTCAAAACCAACCGCTCAAACCCCAGTTGAGATTAAAACAAGAGTTCAAGATTCTAGTAGGTACTAAGGGCTTCTCGTCCGAGCAACGAGCACGGTCGGAGAGTGAGCATCGAGGGAGATAGAGAGGTGCCAACATGGGTTCGTCACGCAAGCGCGGGTTCATGAACGGAGCGCCAACAGCCTGGCCACAACGCGCTCTTAGGATGTTAGGGCAATTTTTGCGACCCCACGACAACTCCAACTCAACCGACTACACCATGTGAAAGTACTCACTTAGAGGCAACCAACAATACGAAATCATGAAGCTAGTTCTTAAGTATTTTAGTTAGAACTTAAACGCCAAGATGGCATTGTCTTCTTCCTTTCAGTCTTAGGAAGTCAAAAGTTCAGTTTGAACTAAACATTCATTAACACTCTTGCCACAATTTTTAAAATGTCCAAACCTCATTAACTGCTACCAACAAGTATTTCATGCAATACTCCATACCTTATAGTAATCCATAGGAGCAAGATATTTAAGCACCATTTAACTATTTGCTCAATATAATTCACCAAAAATGATATTTTAAACATAAGTTCAAATTCTCGCCGATTCAATAAAAAATTCTAGTTTAATTTTTGGATTCGATGTTTGAGCGCCCAAAACACTGGTTAACACTATTCTCTTTCCAAACCTAAAGTTGCATTCTTATCTACACTATTTGCTTATCATTTTTACATAAGCACTATACACAAGTTATATTTTGTTTTTATTTATAGAAATTGTTTTTCGTTGATCTTAACCTAGGTGCTAAGCAAGCTCGTAACACCAAAGGTATTACACTTATCATCTCCCGACATGTTGTGTTCGACGAGTCGGTGTTTCCAAATTTTCGTTCCCATTCCCATTTTACGTTCCTGTTTTCTCATGGAAACATAGCTGCTAAGGTCCTAGCTCCAAGTACCATGTGACCACGCAGACTAAGAGGCTTCCTAAAATGACTACCTCTTTATATATTGTCATACTTGAGTAACGGCTAAATTAACATGTACTGATTCTTCCATTATTTGCAACCAATGACATTACTCATCACTAGACCGAACCTATAACGGTATACATCGTTGTCCCTCCTACTGTACTAGAGATATAGGTTTTCTTCTGAATAGTCAATACTTGCATATGAAGTTGTGAACACTGTGGTTGAACCTAGCATATCTAAACTGAATTAGAAAAAAAATGATAATTGCCCATACACCTAACATTTTGGACCTCAATGACGCTGTTTTGTAATATTAGGGATGCGCTTATACAATACTCCATCCGTCCTAATAAAATAAATTAGTTCCTAAAATCACACAAAATCAAACTATCTTAACTTTGACCAATTTTAAAGAAAGGATAATATCTATAGCATTAAATCAGTATATTATACAAATATATTTTATGGTGTATCTATAATGATACTAATCCGATATGGTCTTTACGTAGGTTGATTGACCTGGCTAGATACACCTATTAACAAGTTTAGAAATGTGCTTATATGCCATCTAAAAGTTTATGGACCTAGATGATACTAAATAAAAATTTTAGAAATGCGCGTGTGCGATCTGTTTGGATCTTTTTTTTTAGAATTTTATGTTCATGAATCTAAATGACACTGATTACCAAGTTTGGGTATGGGCTTGTGCCATCTGTTTGCCCCATGCCCAGGAACTGATGGGGACTAGATCTTGGGAGTAGATGGCACTAAAGACAAGCCGGGTGAAATGATTTGGCCCAAACCAGAGGGGAAATGCAGTTGTCCCTTTTGTCGGTGCGGGCCAAATTTGAGTATGGGCCTGGGCCTAGGCCCTCGCCGGCTTCACCTTACGCCTCCGTTGGCTGCCTGGCCGAGTTGCTCTGAACTGTGCGGCACGTCACACGACACGACATAGGCGCACAAATATCCAACCCAGTTGGGTGGGGCCCGCGCTCCCGACGTGCCTGCCGGACCATAGCACACGCCACCGGTGGTTCCACACGCCAAGTCAGTAACCGGGAGAAGTACACGCTCCCGGCGCTAAAATCCAGCGTCCAAGTCCGAATCAACCGCCGTGATCTGACCAGCCACCTCTGTTTCTGCTCTGTTCACCAAACGCCCGCCACTTCCATGGGAACGCCTATTTACGTGGCTCCCGAGAGCACGAACGAGCCCACCGTCGATCACGAGCCGTCTGTCTCGGCTGCCGCCCGCCGAGCGCCGAGCACGAATCCAGAAGCTCTCGGGACTCCGAACGAGCATGGCGGTCTCCTCCATCAGCTGCTCCCTCAGACCTCCGGCTCCCGTCAGAGAAGCCTCCGCTCGCCTGACGACGCAGCCGTCGCCGCCAAAGACGACGACGTCGACGACGCCGTGGTAAGTTGCTACCTCTCGCTCAAGGTCGGTTGCGTTGCGTCATGTCCAGCTAGCCCGGCGGCAATGGCCAGACGTCGCTCAAGATCCGTCGCCGTAATCGTTCTCTGCAGGGCGGACGGGTTACGGCGGGCGGGCGTGGCGGCGACCGCGGCGGCGTGCGTCGTGATGGGGGCGGCGGGCGGCGGCGACGTGGCCGCGTCAACGACGCCACGCGACGCCGCCGTCGTGGTGGCCCCGCGGTGGAGCGACCGCAGGGAGTGCCCGCCGTGGCGCGCCAACTCGCTGGAGAACATCGTGCCGGAGAACCTGCCCCGCCCGTCGGCGCGCCGGAGGTTCAACAGCGTCAAGCGGGCGCCGCGGAAGGCCCCCGCGCTCGGGCCTCAAGCGGTGGCGCCGTTCCTGGCGCTGCCATACGGCGTGGACGACTGCTTCACCCTCTAGGCAAGTTAGGCAGGTAGTACTGGCTGACCATTCTGCACTGCAGCTGAATTTGTTGTATTTGTTTTGTATACCCAACAAGAAGTTCGAAGTGAACGAAAACAATAGGATTCTTATTTGTATATATATATTGTAGATTTCACAGGGGATCATGTTAGGCCCTAACTGAGATGACTGGGACAGTCGAGAAGAGACCATTTTCTCAACAACAACAACAAAAGTGACGAAAGAGACCAGGACTAGTATATTCACAACTGAATTCAGTAACTGGAGAGCTGACACTGACTCAAGTCGTAACCCACGAGTGTGATGATCTTGTTATCCAAATCTTGGATTGCCGTCCAAACTCACATGTCAAAGAAAATTCATGTGTTCCAAATTCAGTGAGCTGGTTGGCAAATTCATGTTTACTCCAAACTCACGATCACTAGGCCAGCCACCCATCGTCAAGGTATACTTTTTAAAGTTCAAACAACATTTTGGATGCTTTCGGAACGAGCGTGACGACGTGAACCAACCAACTACCAACTGCTGTCAAAGAAACGCCCACCGCATTAGCAGACCTGCGCACGCTACTGTGCACAAATAGCTAACGAAGCGGGCCCCGCGCTCCCGACGTTCCCGCCTTCCAGGCTTCCCGTCTGCGGCAGCATGATACACGCAACCGCAGCAAGCGAAATGAATTACAGCCGCTACAATCCATCGTCCAAGTAGGAATCGACGGCTCTGATCTGGACACGAAACAGCTCTCGACCATGGGAAGCCACTATAATAACTTCCGTGTCCAAACCAGCCAGTCCACCAGTACCATCGAAACTTCTCAACAATGGCGGCTTCCTCCACCGCCGCCATCATCGTCAGCTGCTCCTTCCCCGCTCCGCCCAAACAAGGCGCTGCTGCAGGCGTGTCGGTGTCGTCGTCGCACGCGCTGCGCCGGGCGTGCGTGGCAGCCGCGGCGTGCACCGTGATCGGGATGGCGAGCGGCGGCGGCGACATGGCCCTGGCGCTGGCACGGGGCGGCGGCGCGGTCGCCTCGAGGGCCGACGCCGTGCCCGTGGACGTGGCCCTAGGCGCCGCCGCCGCCGCCGCGGTGGAGCGACCGCAGGCAGTGCCCGCCGTGGCGCGCCAACTCGCTGGAGAACATCGTGCCGGAGAACCTGCCCCGTCCGTCCGCGCCCAGGAGGTTCGACAGCGTCTCGGCCTCGGCGGCCGCGCCGGACTTGGCGGCGCCGCCTTCTTTCCTGGGGCAGCTTCCCGGCACGGGCTGCTTCTCTCTCTCTGACGCAGCCGGCAACTGTGGAAAAAGGAAGTTCACAGAAAAAAGAAAAGCTGTGAAAATTGGAAAACACACTTGTGTTCTATTTTTTTTATTAGGTAAAGACTTGTATTTTGTATACTATAGGTTTTAGCAGAAATCAACTTTGCCTCAGTAGCTCAACATTATTTACTATGGACGGAATTGAAATATTTGGGGCATGCTTGTATGAATCAATGTGAATTTGCAATAAGCCCATGCAGTTATTTTTTTCTAGCTTGCAAAATGTGCAAATCCTGCAATAATCGATCAACGCCGATGACCAAGGCGAATTTGAAAAGGCTTGCGATGATCTAGAGGACCGCGGTTGCTTTCGTGGAAAAGCAGAAAAGCGTGGCAGGCACAGTGAGTGCACGAAAACGAAATGGAGAATTGATCGAGCCAGTTTCAGAGAACAAAAAATTGCTGGGAATTTTCATACAAAAGCCGCCCCAGGCTCGTTTCGTTTTCACGTACGTGGCGCGAGAGCCAGGGAGCGTGGGGCCGGGCACGTACGAGCTGTTGTGCCGTGCCGTTGCCTCCGAACTGATCTCAGTGGTAGTACAAGTGTACAACAAGCTTCGAGTGAAGTACAGGGCCAAAACAGCCTGCCACGTCTTTGTGTAGTACGAAAGTGACCGTTTTCTGTGTGTTTTGTGCAAGTCTCGAAGTACAACATCCAAAAGATAGTGGCGGATCTAGAAAAAATATTTAGGAGGGGTTAGGCTAAAAAGAGCTAGACCAACTTTACTCAATTATATCCCATACAAAGCTAAAATATAGCAGTTTTAAACCTTTTATATGATAACTATGATAAACAATCGAAAGTGCATTATAAAACGCATAAGAAGAAGTAAAAGATACAATTTTTAGAACTAACCAACAAAAGATCGATAGATGATGACACATTCACGCTGTTGTATTCTTCATGAATCATTAGAAGCAATCTATACAAGAAAAAAATAAATTAGTGACACAAATTTCAAGTATTTAACTTCAAAGTTTTGAAGGTAGAAGAGAACATATATCATACCACTAAATTGTTCCGAGGCACTAATATACGCCGGGTTTTCATGTCTTCAAATCGTTTTATGATTTTGTCATTCTTGATGCTTCTAAATATCTTCTTCTCAGTGTAACATATCGTTAAGTCATTGAGCCATTCTAACTTGGTCTCTAATTTCTGGTGGATATTCTTCAATTGGTATGCGATTTCCTGGATCACCAACTACATCGGATTGACTAACCTCCACTCTACGCCGAATTGGTTGATTTATGCTGTCATTACTGCTTGGAGTTGATGTACTACTTGTACCAGAAAAATATGTGTGCAATGTTCTTATGGACATTTTGAATAATCTACAATCTATTAAATCCTAATCAAATTTTGAACCATTACAAAGTTCAAAAGGCAAATCTAAAGAAAAAGAGGCCTTGTTTAGATACTCTCAAAATTCCAAGTTTTTTCACTCTCTCTCCATCACATCAATTTTTAGTCGTTTGCATGGAGCATTAAATGTAGGTAAAAAAATAACTAATTACACAGTTTAGTTGAAAATCACGAGATGAATCTTTTGAGCTTAGTTGGTCCACGATTGGACAATATTTACCAAATAAGACGAAAGTGCTACTATTCATCGGGTTGAATTTTTTTTCAATCTAAACAAGGCCAGAGTATACCTGCTGGCTACTGCCCTGCTGGTGCTGCGGTGTTGCCGCCCAGGGCCTGCTGCCGCCCAGTGCCCTAAATTTCAGCGAAGGCAAAATGGAGGAATAAAAGCAGTCCTAGCTAGAATAAAAAGGAATGCTAAAGAGCCTAGCTCACATGAAAACTACGGCGGAAGAAATTAAATTGCACGCATCACCGAAAGCGAAAGGGCTAACTGACACCTGACAGGGTAAGCTTAATTCGTTGCAGCCTTGCAGCCTTTGCAGGAAGCCAGGAACCCCAAATTTCAGCGAATCCAGCAGGCAATTGCACACGGAGCCACCGCCGCGCGCCGCGCCCCTGCTGGCTGCTGGCCTGGGCCCTGCGCGCTGCGCCCCTGCTGGCTGCTGGCCTGGGCCCTGCGCTGCTGCGCCCCTGCGATGCGCGGCCGCTGCTGCCTGCTGCCTCCGCCCGCCGGGATCCCGGCGCAGCGGCGCCTCCATCGGCCGTTGGGCAGGAGCCAGCCAACCCTAGCTGGAGCCGCCGCTGCTCGCCCAGTCGCCCACTCGCCGGCCCAGTCAGCTCGAGTCGAGTGCCTCTGCTCCCGTGACCGACAGAATGAGAAGAGAAACGAAGAAAAAATGTCTGTTTCTTGATGGGCCGTGAACAGGCTTCGTTAGTGGGCCACATATTCTGGCCCAGGAAGCAGACCAACTCGTCTTCAACCTCCGTCCGCGACGGGAACATCTCCAGCCCCTCCTTCCCAGTGGCTAATGGCCGAAAATTTTATGGAGGGGCTCAGGGGGGGCTCCAATGGCGCGGCCAGGGTAGGGGGGGCTTGAGCCCCGGCAGCCCCCTGGCAGATCCGCCACTGCCAAAAGAGGAAGCAACACCTAGAAAGCTCAGGGCATGCTGGATCCGGGGCAGGCGGCAAGCCGCTCGTCTCACCTTGCTTGGTGATTTTTTTTAATTTTAACACTTTTTGTAAATTAATTTTAAATCTATCACTGTTTTTTTTTAAAAAACTAACACTTTTGGCCGCGTCTATTGTCAGGGCGCGGTGAAACGCATGTGTCGCGCCATGCATGGTGGCGCGGCAGGAGGGTGACGTGGCGAAGACCGGGGCCGCTGACCGGTGACGTGGCAGGGTCTGCCGCGCCACCGATCTTGGCGCGGCAGTCACGCGCAACGGCGCATGGCGCGGCAGGATCAGATAAATATTGCCCGCGAGCCGCCCGCCCTGCCTCCTGCCTGCCACCCCTGCCCGAAACGCAGCTGTCGCCGCGCCCGCAGCGCCTGCCCGCCGAGCACCGCACCTGCCCGCCCGCCCGCCCACACGCCGCGCAGAGCCTCACCAGTCGCCCGCGTCGCGCCGCACGTGTCACGAACGCCGGCGCGTCACGGCCACCGGCCGTACGCCGCTCATATTAAGGTAGGCTCTCTCGATTTCATATTATTATGATTGTTATTTTAGTTAGGGTTAGTGATTTAGGATAGTCAAGTTAGTGAATTTGTTAGTGATTTAGAATTTGTTAGCATAGTGATTTAGAATTTGTTAGTGATTTAGGATAGTTAAGGTTTGGTTAGGTAGTTATGGTTTAGGAATTGATTGTCGGTACTTAGTAGCGCGTGATGCGACGATTTGGATGACTTGATGAAGTTTCGTCAAATGCTTATTTTTCTAGTGAAGTTGTTTAATATGTCTGTTAATGTTACTTTGAATATATACATGTGATTTCATAGTGTTCGTATTGCATAACAAGTAGTTCAAATTTTGCGATGCTACATAATGTTAATTTGAATATTATTAATTTGAATACTTTAACCCTTTGTTTATCAATTTATAACAGGATGGCCCCTCCCATGCAGCACCCGTTGTATCCCATTCTTGAAGTGGAGTACGACGACCAGCACCGAGCACGCATCTTGAGTGACACCGACGCACAGGTGGCCTTGCCTACTCTGAGGCCCCGCACGCACACCAGGACGCACCAGTGGGACGAGTGTTACGCGTCGTATATACGGCGTGCCAGCTTCCTCGAGCTTGTCCGTGTTGTCAACTACGGTCTTCCGCCCCTTGACCTAGCACTACTTACTGCAGCTGTAGACATGTGCGAGTGCCTTCTTTGTACGTAAACATTCTTATAACAAATTTGATGCAACTAACAGTCGTTCTATTCTTATATCAGGTGGAGGCCTGAGACCCACACGTTCCACCTACCTTACGGTGAGATGACCTTGACAATGCAGGACGTGAAGGCTATCTTTGGCCTTCGGTTGGGGGACTTCCACTGACAGGGATAGTTGACAACGATCACTGAAGGGAGCTAGTGGCTCAGTTCACTGGCTTTCTTCCACCGGACGACGAGGCTTCCAAGAAAAATAAGTGAGCAATTCAAGCCTATTTAATACTTGCATTGCTTTCCTGCAGTCATCGGGTCTCATTTTCTTTGGTCAATTTCAAGAAAAGTTCCGGTGTTTCATCGTCCTGGATCACAGAGCGCTTTGATTACTTGAACCCACAGGCTGAGGAGGCTTAGATTGACAGGTTCGCTAGAGTGTGGCTCTGGCACTTCCTTGGTGCTTTCCTCTTCCAAGACGCCTCGGGCAACACCATCAGCTGGATCTTCCTTGACATACTACGCCAGCCGTGGGAGAACATAGCGGCGTACAGCTAGGGCAGCGCAGTCCTGGCATGGACGAATCGACAGCTGTGCGTTGCCTGCCGTCGCACATCAGGGTATGCAAACCTTGGGGGTTGCTCCTACCTACTTCAGGTTTGGTGTTGGGAACGATGGCCCGTTGGGAGACCCCTTAATACTGATTTACCGGTAACTACTTCGGTTCACTATATTCTTCGAGGCAGTTACATATGATTAAATTATTAATGGCTATTTTATTATCGCGTTCAATGCAGCAATGGAACGGGAAGGATACACTCCCTACAGCTCTGTATATCAGGACGAAAGCAGAGTTAGTTAGAGGGAATGTGAGGCGCAAGTATAGGGAGTACACGGATGAGCTCGACGTCCTGACACAGCACCAGGTTATTCTCTCTTTACTATCATACATGTGTCTTGTTCGATGTACTCTATATCACAACCTAACTTAATTACGAAATGTTAAAGTGCATTGGTGTCCTTGGGATGCTCCGGAGCTCGAGTACTATCTGAGTCTTATCACTAGGGACGAGTTAGATGAGTATCGCTGGAACGTCCCTCTTATTTTCTTCCACATGGTCGAGATTGACTTGTCCATCAGGGTCTGCAGACAGTTTAGAAGAATGATAGGCTGCCCACCACCGCTTTACTTCACCAACCAAGGATTACACGGGTGCGTTATCGATTAATAACAAAGCTACAATTCAGAGGTGTGTGTGGTACAACTAACATCGTTTTGTTGCAGGTATGACCGTAGGAAGAGGTACAAGACCAAGGATTGGCGCGTGACACACAACGCGCACATCCCCTTGTGGGAGACCAGGGAACGACAGCTGGTCCATGCGGGTCCTCCACACGACCAGCACACCTTCGATGAGTACCTGCGGTGGCTTCACCGGTCTACGAGGACACATATCAAGCCCCCATACACTGAGGAGGCGATTGACGAGGACTCGGAGGAAGATGTGATCGAAGATATGTACGACGTTGCCACTAGGGAGGACACAGCTACAGAGAGCACCGCTTCAAAGATACGTGGTAAGATACTTGAATGGTACAATTTCTTATCCTTTTGGTATTAAGTATGTGTACTAAAATTGTCCAACAGTGTTTCTGTATCCAGACGACACAATTGTCAAGGATGTCCAACGAAGCAGCGTTCCGGCTACACGAGTCTAGAGGGCAGGGGCCAGGGGTTCTCGAGGTTTTTGTGGAGGTAAACATAAACTTGTCCGTTCCGAAAATATTTTTTTAGTGTATATGCGTTTGGGAAATGCACTAACTTTAACATCTATTTATACAGAAGGTGAAGAAGAGCTGTAGGAAGCTAGCTCAGAAGCTGAGCTGCATGGACACTCCTTATGTGGAACCACCACTCCCGACGTGGTCGGGTGGCACGTGTTCAGCCTCTTTGAGGACACCAGCCGGCTCTTCTCAGCCGGTGACAGGTGCCACTTCCGCAGTGCGTACACCACCACATTATAGTGCTGGGAAGGACCCTGCAACCGAGGATGACGATGACGACGACGATGACCCCCCGGGCTTCCGCAGACAGCACGACCAGTGGGACGATTGGCCGAAGGACGAGATCGGCATATCTCGGCTAGGTGGTGCCCCGCTTGGTACCCAAAGAGCCTCACATGTACTAACAAAGTTAGTTTCTTTAAATACGTAGGCTCCATACACTAACAATCATAAAGATTATAAGTATTTGTGCATATCATATACTTGCAGGGTACGAGCAATACGTACCGGTGACGCGACCACACCGACGTTGGCTACACTCCCAATGTGTTGCCAACAAATCCAAAGAGACAGAGGCGTCTGAGGGATCCTTACACTCCTGGGTCTTAGTTTGTTACGTCGAACGAATATTGGCGTCCGAAACTTACAGGCTTAGTTGGTTATGTTATGTCGAACTTATGTCAAACCAATAAAAATTTTATGTGGCAGCTTGCCAACTTGCACACGGACTGCATTTATTTGCTTCATATTCGTTTCAATGCGTCGCGGCAGCACTGCCGGCGAGATTAAGTACCAACTAGTTCGGGAACCGGCAGTCCCGGCGTTTCTCGACGCCGCTGGTGGGCGTCTTGACCCCCATCCTCCCGAGCTTGGTCATCACCGCCACGAAATCGCCGAAGAAGGCACCCTGGTTAGACGCGCAATAGTCGACCGTGTTGCGTGACCCCATGTCGGACTAGAGCACCTGGTCGGAGCCCACCAAAGAAGGGGTCGAGAAGCCGGGTCCATGGTCGCGTCATTGCCGATCCTCACCGACAAGCGACCGATCTTACGTTCATGCGTCCAGTCTCGCGGCGCCATGCGCCGTGGCGCGTCACTGCCGCTCCAATATCGGTGGCGCGACATACCCTGCCACGTCACCGGTCAGCGGCTCCGGTCTTTGCCACGTCACCCTCCTGTCACGCCACCATACAAGGCACGGCACAGGCGTGACAATAGGCGCGGCTAAAAGTGTTAGTTTTGAAAAAAAAAACAGTGTTAGATTTAAAATTAGTTTACAAAAAGTGTTAAAATTAAAAAAAATCTACTCGGTAAGGCCAGGCGTTTCGTAGTATCCAACAAGCTAGCTTTGCCAGGTAAACCCATGCACCTGAAGTTTTTTCTTACCTACGCAGGAGAGACACCAGCAAGATTCGTTTGCTCACACGTTGCTCTGATTATTAGTCGTGACTTCCCTACTAAATTGAAGCTCATCCCTGTCAAATGGCGCTTCTTCTCCACCAAATTGATGTTTCCAAACTGTTCTACACCCAAATTGAGCTCGTGGACATCCAAATCAAGCTTATGATAATAAGCTGAATCGAACTTTTCCCTACCCAAACTACGCTCGTTGACTTAAATCGAGTTTCTTATAGCTTTGAATTATCCTCTCTTGAACTCCTCCATGGCAACCTTCAGCCTGTTCGTTTGGCTGGGCTTGTTCGTTGCTAAATCGTGAAAAAGTACTGCTGGCTGGTTTGATGCGAGAGAAAAATACTGTTTCAGTTAAAAATTTACGATCGTTTACGACCGTATAAGCCCAGCCGAACAGGCTGCTCGTCCATTGGACGAATAAGAGAGGAAATGGGAGGAAAGAAAACCAAGCAGAACGAGGAAATTGCCTTGCTTTGCTTGACATGGTGAGGCGAGGCGGGTGACGGTACCAAGTGTACCTTGAGAAATCAGAACCATCCTGCCACAACCACATTCAGGTGTGGAGCTATGGATGTAGCTATGGTTGCGGCCGCACTCACGGCAAAATTAAAAGAAAAAAAAAGTGATTATATTTAAATTTTCACCGTATATGTATTCACAAAGTAAAAATCTACTCCCTCTGTCCTAAATTATCTATCGTTTTTTGTTTCCGTGACACAGTTTGACTTGATTTGAAGAAAATATGTGCAACATTTATATCTCCAAATAAATTTATTAAAAACTATATTCAAAGATCTTTCCAATAATACCAATTATGTACCATAAATATTAATATTTTTAATATATATTTTGTCAAAGTTATTTCTTGAGAAGCGAAAACGCCGTATATTTTGGGACAGAGGGAGTATGCACCAACAAGTAAACGTACCACCCCTTTGATTGAATCCTACAAAATCTAAAGGAACACTTTTGAACTCCGTGACTTAGCAGATTTGCGACTTTTGATAAATCCTAACCAACACTCGGGTATTTTGTCCTGCTTCAGCACGCGAATTTTTAGCCGTGCGATTCGCCACGTGGTGCTCGCATCAGGAGGCGGCAGGCGTGGGGACTGATGCGTGCAGAGATAGAGGAGGGCCGATTTGCAACCGCATGCAAAGAGAGATGAAGGGCGTGGGGCTGATGCGCATGCGCGTCAGTCGTCAGGTGGCAGGCTGCAGAGGAAGGGCTACGCGTGCATGCAACGTTTTGGTTCTGTATATAACATTTGTGAAAATTTGACATATATTTCTCTAATATATGTAATTCACAGAAATAATTTGTTAATTTTTCAGAAAAAATTAGCATATATTTTTCTAAGATCTATAATAAGTTATATTATCCTCAAATTACATCATTTTGTTCAATATATACTAAATAATCGATGTAAATATAGTAATAAGATAGTATAAATATATGTAAAAGACAGTGTAAATGTATAGTCAAAAATCGGGTGCCAGGAGACAGACGGTTTAAACAAGAAAAGACCTAAAATTTCAAACACGTGTTTAGAATCACAGGAAAACTACAAACAAAAATAGTGAAAATTAGTTCATTAGGAGCCCATCCAAGATTATTGTAGACCCAACGAATTAGTAGCTCCCAACCACAGGTGGAGTGGAATCCAACAAAAAAAATCATTAACTAAAAGAATAAAAAAGTTTTTATTGAATCATTTAAATTATAGAAAAATTCCTGAACCTTTTTTTAAATACACTTAGTTGTTAGGTAGACAGACTCTTTGTATAGAATATTGAATTTTATGTTCCACCTTGATATTCGCAACTCACGTCGTCATCCTCGGTCGCTTGATTGGGAGAACGCAAAGTAGGCCTTTGACAAGAAGCTCGGTCTCACGACCCACGAACAAGACTGCCTGGACTCGACCGCGCGGGATCCCTCATCTTCGGCTGGCCCAACTGCCGCCAAAATCTGCAGTCGGCCCAGAAGCGATTTCGTTAGCGAAAACTCGGAGCCCAGTCAAATCCGGTTCGGCACGGTCCTCTCATTCCGAATCCGAACGGAGTAACTAACGGAAGGACCCCACGGGCGCTCCATTTGCCGCGGACCGTGGACGGCAGCTCTACTACTGCTGTTCGCTTGGTTCATAAGCTATATCTGAAAATACCGTTGATTGATTTATTAGGATAGAAAAATATTATTTATTAGCTAAAAAAAATATGTCTTATAAGCCGAGCGAACAGGCCCGACACGGACGTTCGTTCACGATCTGAGCGAAGCGGTGCAGTTTTGGCGGCTGCAGAGATCATTATCTCCCCAGCTCCCTCGGCGCCTCGACAAGGACCTCGACGACCCGCCGAGCAGGACCATTTCAATGCGGGCGACTCCAACCGTCAACGTCCATCTAGCGCAGCGCCCGCCGCTCATCGATGCGCCGGCAAGAAAGAATTCAAGCCTCACGTAGCTAGAGCCTAGAGATCACATCACGTGAACACATATTGACCTGGCACCAGCATTTCCAGCCACTGATCAGCTGAGCTGCTTTAAGCTTGGCCCGTGCCAAGCATCTATATAACCACCCAGCCGCCAGCAGCGTGCTGCACACCTCGCGGCGGCACCAGATCTCATCGTCGTCGTCCCGTCCGTCGACACCACCGGACGGCAGCAGCTAGCGGTCCCTGGTGCCCCCCTGCACGCAGACCATGGCCAGCCTCGTGTCGAAGCCGCGCCACAGCATCCAGATGTACTGGGCGCGAAGGAGCTACCAGCGCCTGGGCTCGCCGTCGCGGCGCCTCAAGGTGGCCCGCCTTGGCGGCGGCAGGTCGGCGGGCTCCGCTGCCGCCGCGTCGTCGTCGTGGAAGGGCATCCGGTTGGCGCGCCGGGCCGTGGCGCTGCTGGCTGCGCCGGCGCTCCTGCTCTCGAGGCTCCGCGACGCGTACGTCGACGCGATGGTGGCGCTGGGCGGGTCCGGCATGCGGCCCTGCGCCGCGCTGGCCAGGTCGCGCAGCGGCGCCGAGGCCGGGCTGTGGGACAAGCGGGTGCCGCGGGCGCGCCGGGGGAGCGGAGGCGGGAGCGGGAGCAAGCGCGGCGGCGGCGACTTCGAGCGCCGGATGATGGCGCACATATACAGCATGGTCGTCACGCCGGAGCTCCCATGCGCCGACAGGGCCTGATGACATGCATGGACGACCGAGCCGAGTCGCGCCAGTCTCAATATGTGAGATTGTGAGCAAGTGAGAATCGCATCTCGCGTCACGTAATTACGTGAAGGCAGGTCCTGCGCTCGTCATGTAGTGTTTGTGTCTCTTGAGGTCTTGACTTCGTTGATTTCCTTATTCTTCATCTTAAATTCTTATAACCAGAAGTGCTGCAAGGGTTCAAGTGTATGTATATTACAATCACGTATGAATAAGAGTGATACGGTTAACGGTAGCTGGTGCGTCTGAAGATATGGATTTGAAGACACAATCCGTTTGAAATTACTGAAGAAAACACTGAAATGTTGGATACTGGCAGCTCTGAGTTCTAGCTCTTGCACGCGAAAATACTTCGACGACTACTACTCATGATGTGTGAGTGTATAGGATCCATATGTGGTGCTCTATGCCTCTATCAAAGATGTTCAAGCTGTTGTAAAAAAAAAAGATGTTCAAGCTGTTCAAGTCGGACTAAGCCCTTGTTTAGTTGGGTGAATTTGGATTTTGGGGCTACTGTAGCACGTTCGTTTTTATTTGGCAAATAGTGTTCAAACATGGACTAATTAGGCTCAAAACGTTCGTCTCGCAATTTCCCACCAAACTGTGCAATTAGTTTTTATTTTCGTCTACATTTAATGCTCCATGCACGGGCCGCAAACATTCGATGTGACAGGTAACTTTTTGGACTTTGGAGTCCAACTAAACAAGGCGTAAGAAAGACGAAAACAGAAGACCTACGTTGGGCCTTCTATAGTTTCATCTTGAGAAAGCAAACAAGCCCATGTCTGATTTCAACTGGACCGTGTCAGTGTCAGCTTCCTAGCCTAGCTTTGTGCTTTGGACTGGGATTATAGTACTTTGACAGATTAGGGACCTAGAAAGTAATTTTACTGTGTTAATTATGTGATAGTTTAGGGACTGTCCTGGTAATTATAATTGGACGGCCTATAATATCCAGTTTTGTAATATAAGGTTGAAACTGGACTCTACCCAAGACAAAATAAACCTTGCCCATAGAAGTACTCTCTACCACTAGTGTTGTCTCACTTATTACAGCCCAACTTGACTTCGCTACTGGAACCAAAGATTTGATTTAGGGCATGTTCGTTTGAACTTATCAGCTAGAATCTACAGTATTTTTCTCTTATAACAAATCAGTTTCAGCCGGCTTATCGGCTGGCTTTAATACCAGCCGAACAACTACTAGCAAACATACCCATACATTGCAATGGGGCCTATGGTTTATTGTGTGATCACTTTGGACTAGCCCATGCTAATTTAATGACCTAACTATCTTTGATGGATTTAATTGGGCTTGTCCGAACCATATTTTAGCTTAATCAAATAAATTTGAAGTCTCATAATAAATATTAGGTGCAATAAAAAGATTAATAACATATGGGAAATTGAGTAGAATTAACTCAGCTTAAGTAGGTGACTATTGTGTATAACTACTGTGAGATTAACAAAGATGAAAGATGATCCACACGTTCATGCATGCGTCACAAAAAGATTGGGGTTATTTGTATATTTTCTTATTTTTTATCTGAAACAAATTAGGTATTGTGTTTGGATATTAAAGTATACTACCACATTTAAAATCAAATCTGATATGGTTTCGTACTTTAATAAAGTTCAAAATTAGACTGTTGTGCAAGTTGAGCCAAAATAAACCTTGACTACTACTCCCTCCATCCCAAAATAATTGTCGTTTTGACTTCCAAAAAATAACTTTGACTAATTTTATATAAAAAATATTAATATTTATGGTACATAATTAATATTATTAGATAGATCGTTAAATTTATTTTTATTATAAATTTATTTAGAGATATAAATGTTACACGTATTTTCTATAAATCTAGTTAAAGTTATGATATGGAAAAAAAACGACAGTTAATTTAGACCGAGGGAGCACTCTCTTCCACCGTCATTGTCTCGCTGATCCCAACCCAGGTTGACTTTTCTACAGGAGGTCGACAATTTGGTTTAGTAGGTATACAGGCACACGTACACGTACACGTACACGGTACACCACGGCTAGTAGCCTGTACGCCCCCGTTTTCAGGTGCACGACTCGACCGACGTGCCCCGGAATCGAACGGGTTGCGATGCACGTACCTACGCACGGGATCGGATCGTCTTACCGGACATCGATCGGAGGGCGGGGGCAGTCCGGGCCGGGGGCACATCACCCCGTTAATTTCAGGTCCGACCGGCACATCAGCACGTAAGTCTAGCGTCGCCGCGCATGCACGCCTTCACCTGCACGAACCAAATTAAGGCCATGTTTAGTTCAGCAAATTCCCAACTTTGGCACTATGCAAAAAAAAGATTCCTCGTCACATCAAATTTACGGTACATGTATAGAGTACTAAATGTTGACGAAATCAAAAACTAATTGCACAGTTTGGTTGTACTTTACGAGACGAACGTTTTGAGCCTAATTAGTCAATGTTTGAACAAGTATTACCAAATAAAAACGAAAAAGTACTGTAGCTACAGTACCTCCCTGAATTTGGCGGCGCCGAATCGGACACCAAACTAAACGTGGCCTAACCACATCAGTACATAACAGACTTTCAGTTCTAGACTCTAGTTCCAATTATTTTATTTTGGACTCAGGACTAAAAATAGGATTAGTCTCCTTCGCCCAACGGCTAGAGACGCATCTTTTGCCGAAAGAGAGCAGGAGATCGGGACTAGAGGTCACCAATTCCGGTTGGAGCTACCAGCCGTGACTAAACCTTTAATCCTGGTTGATAGCTTCAAACAGGACTAGAACTCTACCTGTAGTTCGAGTTTATACCATAAACTGGGACTACATGTCCTAGGCTATATACTTTCTCCTTCTTCCTCTCCCAGTCTGAGCCATTTTAAGCTCTCTACATGCTCTCTGTTCTTGCTCGTGGAAAGAGTTCATGCTTGCGGGATTGGTGAAGACTTCATTCCTCCATCCATTCTTCGGTTCTAAAGGTTACCAATTTCATCCTCCTATGTTTCATCACTAGCATAGCTCATTTCTTTTTTTTCTCGAATACGCAGGAGAGCTGCGTATCAATATATTAAGAAGAAAAAAAGGTAAAGCACCCAGGTAGTACACTGGTTACTCCAACAAAAACACACACGCTAGATCACCTATTACATCCAGGAACTACCCATGACCAGGAAAAAAAAGATCAACTAGGAGGCTGTAGGCGAGGAGTTGAGAAATGCCTCGAGCCCGACCATATCCCACATGTATAGATCAACCACGATAGAACGGAGCAACCCATACAGCTCAAAGTTGTTTGTCCATCAAAACACACAATGGTTCTGTGATTCCAGATGGCCCAAGCCACCGGGATAACCAAGGAGTTCAGGCCTTGCTTTACAAGATCAGTCACCCTAATGTTCACACTGTTCTCATCAAATAGCAGGTCCCCAAAGTTGTGGGGCAAGACACTGCAGATCCAAATTGCTAGAAGACAATGAACCAAACTTGGCGAGAACACACAGGAAACAAGCGGGTGATTAATCGTCTCCTCCTCTTGATCACATAATGGACATTGCTCTGGATGCGGTAATCCCTTCCTAGCAAGTCTATCATCGTCCAAACATTTGTTATGGGCAACCACCACATAAAGAATCGGCACTTTCCAGCGCCCTCCTCCAGATTCTTTCCGTGGTTTGAAATGAGTGGCCCCTATGAACATTGCTTCATAAGCCGACTTAGTGAGTACTTTCCGTGGAAGAGAACCTCCAAATGTGAGAATCATCCACTTTCGGCTGTAGCACCACCTCAGCCAACCAAGTCCCAAAGATCGAGAAATTTAGTCAAAACACCCACAAAGTCGGGCACCTCTTATGTACGCAACCCATCTACCATCAAGAAGAGCGTCATACACTGTTCTTTTCTTTGCTTTGCGGCTAGAGACAGAGTTGAACAAAGTGGAGCAAGCATTTCAAGACTCATCCATGTAGCCATTTATCGGTCCAAAAAGTCTATTCTTACCATTGCCGACCTCGGAAGATATGGTCTTTGAGAAAAAGTTTCGACAGAGTGATGCACTTGAATGGGAAAAAAAATCCATGGTTTGTCAGGCTCGGTTTTGAGCAACCAGAGCCACCTCATTACGAGTGCCCACCCTAGTTGTTGTAATTGTGAAATACCAAGCCCCCCAATTCGAGAGGATGGGTTACCTTGGGCGAAGCAACCAAACAGTGACCACCCCTCACATTTTTTTTCTTCCTTCCACAAGAAACCCCTTCGATCTTATCAAGCGCTTTCAAAGCCGGAAGGAAGATCCATGGCCATTGACAGATATATTAACATAGAGGTGAGAACAAATTGTACCAAAATTTTCCTACCGACTTTAGTGAGCGGTCGACTTTCCATCCCGGCAATCTGTCAAGAATTTTATCAATGATAGGGTGGACTTGGGCTCTTGTCGACTTGTGTGGAGAGAGAGGCACTCCCAGATATTTGCAAGGAAATTCAGAAATCTGGTAGGGGAGATGCGCAAGCGAGGATCTGCACGGTCCTCTTCCGAACACCGAATGGGAAGGACATTACTTTTTCGTATATTGGTTCGGAGTCTAGAAGCCTCCCAAAAAGCTGCAGAGCAAATCTAGGGTGATTCGATGTCACTCACCGAGGGTCGAAGGAAAATGACCACGTCATCGGCATATAAGGAGATCCGTGTTGTATATTCCTTCTAGCGAGGGGGTTGAGAAGTTCTTCTTGGTGCTTTTCGAAACAAAAGACAGAGAACATCCATGGCCAATATAAAAGCATTGGGGAGAGCAGGTCTCCTTGTCTTAAGCCCGGTGATGTTTAATTCTCTCCCGGAGAGCCATTCAACGAGATCTCGAGTGGATGAAGAGGCTAATGACCCATTGATGATGTCACACCAAATGACCCCAAAACCCACGTCTTGCAACACTTCCAAAATAAAAGGCCAGAAGCCAGAATCGAAAGCTTTAGTGATGTCCAA